ATCGGTGGCGATGAGCGTCCGCCCCGGTTGCTGTTGTGCTCGTCGTTGAAGGCGGTCCCTCGCCTTGGTGGCTCGGTCGGTCGGCGAATCGGCGCCACAAGACCGCGGGGTGCTTGTGGGCTCAGGGCTACACCGCGGACAGCTCGAATTTCTGCTATCCTTGCGCGTTGCTCCTGTCGCATTGGCGCTTGCCACACTCGGCTAGCTGGTCGCATCGGTGTCGGCGTCGGTGTCGGTGCCAAAATCGGCGTGGGCAGCTGGGCGGGCGTCCTGGGGACCCGAACAGTCACAGTCGCCGCGGGCATCAGGTACAGGAGGAGCCAGTTGGTCCCAGCGCCGTAGGCTCAGGACCTCCCCAGACTCCAGCTGCCAGTGTGCTGGTTGGCTGCCCGTCATCCGTCGCGAATGTAGGTGCTCAGAGCTGGAACAGATCAACGAGGCAATGTGTCCTGGAGATGTCTCCAGCTGCGACCCAGTCGTATCAACAGCTGGTGCACATGCTGGTGTTGGGCATCCGTGCTGAGAAGTTCATGCCGCAGTGCTGCATTCGGGCGTGCTTCGTGTTGGTTTTGTTCGCACGAGGCGTCTCCGTCAGAATCGGGGCCTGCCGCAAAAGAAGTATAATCTCACTCCTGCGGCCACCTTCACACATTCAGGTTGTGACAGAATTTGCAGCCTTTCGGGTTGGCTGTTGGAGATCCCGTGGCCCCGTCGCGACGATCGACCCCCACCGACAACGACAAGCTGGGAGAAATCAAGGTTCCAAGAGCAATAAGCCGTGAAAGGTAAGTGACCTGACCTTGAATCTATATCACATATATATATATATATATGTATTAGTGCGTGCTGGCGTTTCCTTTTTTCGTCTGCATATTGGACAAGATTCTTGCTGTCGCAATTGCTCATGAACTGGTGGTTCTCGTCCTGGATCTCAAGACCCGAATGTGTTTGAACTTGTAGGACTTGCGCGAAATGTGGTGCAGACGATCTACCGAGATTGATTGCCCTCGAAATCCTCTCAAACCGTCCTCGCCATGACGATATCCAGAAATCTAACAAGTTTGCCATAGTGCTGAAATCTAACAGAAATCCAGATATCCAGAAATCTAACAGAAATCCAGACATCCAAATCAAGCAGTAATTCGGACACCGCGGTGGTGTGGGGAGAAGGAGGACATAGGGGCCACTGCGCGAATGTTAGCTCCGCTGCCACGTAGAAGCATAATGGGTTGAGACGACGATCTTGTTGTTAGAAATCGTCGCAATAATATCAGCCAGCGTTGACCCCAAATTGATTAAATGACTCAAATCAAGGAATCAGAGGAATCAAGCATGTTTGGAATCCGCAACTCGGCAAGCAAGCAAGCGTGCAAGCAAGCGCGCAAGCAAGCGCGCAAGCGCGCAAGCAAGCAAGCAAGCAAGTGCGCAAGCAAGCAAGCGCGCAAGCAAGCAAGCAGGCAAGCAAGCAGGCAGGCAGGCATAGGCATAGGCGCAGGCATAGGAGTCAGGGGGGAGGCATAGGCATAGGCATAGACATAGCCATAGGAATTAGGGGGGGCATAGGGATTAGTGTGGGGGGACTCCTATGGGGCAAGCTTATTTGGAGAAAATACAGCACATGTAGGGTGCGGCCCAAAACGAATAAACCGTAATAAACAGGTGCAAGGGGACCCTTGGGAAATCGAATCGGCGGCAGACAGGACAATCTCAGTCACTGCTTAAATCAGGGGAATGGGCGGGGAGGAGGGAGAAAACAAGAGGAAGACGAGGAGTAATTGAGGGTAGGAGGGAGAGGAGAGGAAGTGGAGAGAGGGAGAGGAAGGGGAGGTAAAGGAAGATCTCTTCCTTACGGGGCTACCTTCCTGTTTATCGGCAGGCCGGTCCTCGGCGCCGCACGTGGGCGGCGTCGGGTAGGTGTGCAGCGAGGGCAGCTCCAGTTGCTCATGGATGTCCTGCTGCCGCGGGGTCATCGTCCTCGACCTCGCGCTCTCCTCTGGCTGCAGGAGGGGAGGAGGGAAGGAAGAAAGAAGGGAAAAGGGGTTCCTCCTCCTCCTCCTCTTCCTCCTCTTCTACTTCTCTCTTCACCATCCTCATCATCCTGATCCTCCTCATCCTAGTCTTCCCTCATCCTCATTCCCTTCCCCCATCTTCCCTCTCCCTCCCTCTCTCCCTCCCTCTCTCACTCTCTCACTCCCTCACTGATCCTCCTCCCTCTCCTCATTCCCTCCCGCTCTCCCTCGCTCCCATGCGCTCCCGTACGCACACGAGGAGGCAGAGGGGAAAGGGTGGAGTCGAGGGCGAGGATGGGAATGAGGAGCAGGAATTACATAGCAATCCGCATTTAAATGCGCCATCCGCCACAATTCAACATAAGCAAACGTGATTGTCCTGATACGCTACACTCACCAGAGACCAGGCCTGCGCACATGCACACAAACCCTTGTCCCCACCTCGTGTCTAATCGCTTCTCTGTGTTCATCCACATGTTAGAGAGAGCGTG